ATCTTGAAAGTTCCAGGATATCCGGATCCGTTCCACCCCTAGCTACTACAGCATCCACCATGAAAAGTATATTAGAAACCAAATAAAAGAAGTTGATGACATTGTGATGAAACTGAGGTTATTCAGGTTTATTCAGGGTTCTTCAATGAGTGCTATTACGCTAGGTGAGGCCTTGGTTATGTCTAACTTGTTGAGACCGATGAGGTCATTCAGGTTTTTGCCACGGAGATTTTGATTACAAATGGTCCGCCTCTCTGGTTCTTGTTTGCCATACTATGAGACTAGTGCAATAGCCATTGGAACTACATGAAATGCGTCTCAATGTTGTTATAAGTTTATATAGAAGCCGGTTTATAATGATGTTATTGGTGATGATGGTATATAGTCTTCACATGTAAATGTTAATATGTTATGCAGCACTTGCTTTGAAATGTGACAATACATTAACTAAACCTAATTAGTAAATTACTTTTATCTAAAACCAAACTAATAATTCAAACTTGAACCGAAATAATTTGTTTTGGTTTCCAAAAGCAGTTCGACGTGATTCCTCAATGGGTCTTTATTATTTTTGACAATCCCTTGTCACTTATGGGCCAACCACCTCAACACATTGATCGTTAAGCCAACCTCTAAACAACAATTTAGGGAGTTAGAGGAAAACGAAAAGATGGGGATGGTTGAGCATGATTTGTTTCGATAAATGAGGTCTTATTGGAAGAATTGGATGTTGAGTTCAAAAGAAACTTCATGAAAGCACTGCAGTCTTACATATTATATCAAATATTTGTTTGACCGACATGGGAAAGATGGACGAGAAGCACCATATCAGAAGGAGCGTTAAAAGAGTTTTACATATGTGTTTAATAGACAATAATGTCAACATGGTGAATGTTAAGGTTGATTATTGATTTAATAGTAAATACAAAAGATATTGTTCGCATGACTAATTTAGTACAAGTCTTGTGCATGGCTTTAGTCTTGTTCATTTCCTGCTAACATAATGGGTTTATCCTTGATGAGAACTACATAGTTTAAGTAAACAAACTATTAATGGATTTGGTTGGACGTATTCAACAGTAACACATTTGAAACTTGCGTTTCTTTCTGCAAATGATTCAACAATATTCGACATAAATATCATGTGATCCAAAGATGTGAAATCTTAGTTATTCGCATTTTTGTCGAAACGTTGCCTGCAGTTGGAAAAATGAGAGAGAGTACTAATGGAATTATATGTAGAATATATCACCTTCCTATCTTTATTTATACACATTTTATTGCATCATTATGAGAGTTTGTGCCCTTAAGTTAGTTTCTTTTAAACCAAGTAACTGAGTTGAAAATACCGTCTCGGATTCAGGAGATAAGACTTCAAAAGGATAGAGAATATAGAAGAGACAAAAAAAATCAATGAAAAAAGGTTTAATTTTTTCTTTTTTGACCACCGCGCTTACGTACGTGGATACCTGAAATTGTACTTGTTTGCTAAACTGTCTAATGCGTTTCGTCAACCTTGAGGTGATTTTAGCTGAAATGTGTGTGTCTGTATATGATGTTTACACAAAAAACGTAAGAGAATCCCGGAAAGTATCTATCCCAGTAGGGACATGTGATTCAAAGATGTAGCTTGTAGAAATAAGAAGGAATCTACTTTGAAAAGAAATGATACTATTGCAAACTCATCAAAAGATATGTAACTACAAATAAAGAGAAATCAAATTAAAAGATATGTATCTACTATAAAGAGAAACCCCAAAGCATCCTAGATGAGAGATTAATGGATTGAGCTAGACTACTTATTCAACACAAGTTCTTTTTCTTGGTGGATATTTGTCTTCTTCATCAGATTCATGGCGAATAGTCTTGATATTTGCTTTCGTAAGCTTCTCATATGCCTTGGCCTTTACGGCATTATCTGAGTCATCATCAGCTTTAGTAGCGAGCGTCTTGTTGGCACGAGCTTCCTCGGCTTTCATTAGAAGTCTTCCCGCTTCCAACCTTGCATTGAGCTCGTCACGACGTTTCTTAATCTCAGAGTCACAGAGAGTTTTCTTGACAGGTTGAAGAGAAAAAGGAGGACAAGGATGAGGAAGAGGCAAATAGCGAAAAGCGAAGTCCACAAGCTCCTTAAGTTCCTCCTTTCTCTTCGAATCCATCTCTGCTTTGATCAGAGAAACCTTCTTCTGTTAACGAATGATTGTCTTTAGAGTTTTCGAGAAGGTTGACAAGAGAGGAATGTTTTTAGGGTTTTCAAGAGAGAATGAGAGAAAAAGTCGATGCACAATAGGAAGTTATTTTGAGTAAATCCTAGTATTTTTACGAATAAGTAAGCCTTTAAGTTAGTGCCTTTAAGTTAGTTGAGTCAAAAATATTGCCTAAGATTCAGGAGATGTGGTGATTGGTATTGTAAGGACTTTACCATATTTTAAAGTATTAACAGTCAAATTTTTGCCAATTAGACTTTAAGTCCC